CCCCAAAACCCCAAAACCCCAAAACCCCAAAACCCCTTTTATTTAAGTAGAGTTTCAATTTCAAAAATGGAATAATAGATTAAAAGGCAAATTACCTCTTTGAAATAAATAATCAAACTTACTCATTCACATTAATCATGTCTTTAAGGTCAAATTATGGAATTTCATTACCTTCATCAAGTGAATTCTCTACCTTGTGCTTGAAATTTTGGAACAAAACTCTAATATCTTATATTTTCCTCAGGACTATTTGTTTCAAAAATGGACCTAGTAGCTCTAAAACTCTATCGTCCATATCATCTATCCAAGTCCTAACTCTTATCCCATTATAATAGGAAGTTTCTTTATAATTTTCCTCAATATTGTCAACTATTATGGTCTTTTCTAAAGGTCGACCTAGCTTTCTTAAGTCTTTCAAAGCACATTCTTTTTATGGAGTTGTATGTTGTCTATATAATCTATGAGTGATGCACTTATCTGGATCAATACTATCTATTATCCAGTCGGCATACTCAGGTATTGCTGCTGTAAATACAACAATCTCAAAAAAATGTTTCATTTCATACAAGAACTTTAGTGCTCCTGGTCTAATAAGATAAAATCCCTCTTGTTCTTAATCATCAACGTCATAATGGATCAAAGTTTCATCAAGATCCATAACTAAAGTATACTCCCTATTTGAACTAATAGGAGGTAAATAAGGATGTATAGGCAGGGAAATTTGAATTCCAATAATATTTTTACTTGTTAGATCTGTCATAGATGACACATTTTCTTACTCAATAATATAATCTTCATCTAAATTTTCTAGTCTCTCTGTGATTTTATCTGTTGAAATTTCTTCATCTTGGGTTATCTAAAGATTTTTTCTATTTTAAGGAGTTTTGCTCTCAAAAGTTTGATAATGATCGTCAAAAGAAGAGTCTGCACTGTTAACATTAAACATCAAATTGTCTGCAATTTTAATGGGAGTTTTCTTAAAAATTACTTCCTTATCAATTTACTTTCCAGAATTAGTAACATAATTATTAAGTTATTGTAGCCTTAACTTATTCTTAGTTACATTAACAGCTTGCTAAACCTTTTCCATTATTTCCTTTTCGATTTATTCTTTTTGCTAATTATTCTTGTTTTTATTGATAACAATGTCAAACATAATATTAGTTTGATCACCTTATGATGACGAGGATTAAGTGTCTTTGTTAGTTTTTCTCAAAGGCTCAGAGGATTTTACAAGGGGGATAGGTCTCTTCTTTTTCTTTGATTTCTTTTTTGTGGAAATATTTGCGTTATTACTTATATTTTATGTCCTATTTCCATCTCTATAAGAGACACTATCATTTTTGCTATTAGGACTAGCGAGATACAGATTTTCATTAAGTAGTTAACTTTGCTAATCAATTAATGTTATATCCTAATTAGAAGTATTATAGGTTAGTACTGGTGGGGCTTAATTGAATTAATTCGAAGTTTTCAATGTTCTATTACTTGATAATTTTAATGGCTATTAACTTAAAAACATTGTTCGGGGACTAGTTAGTTTTTAAGTTTGTGAGAGATAGTTATTTGCCGCTGGTAGTTCTTATTAAATTCTTTTGTTTAAGGAATTTTCTTTGACTGATATTTATTATTTTTAATGTTTTCTATTATATATTTCTAAATTTTGCTAAGTTGAGGGATCTTTTTATAAGTTTTTCATACTTAATGATGCTTGAATTCTAGATGAAGCCAAAGTCGATGGGTTAATCTTTTTTTGGGCTTATTTTAGGAACTAGTAATGCTCTATCTTACCAATTTTGCTTAATGCATTATTAATCAAAGGATCTCTGTATGGAGAACCTATTCGAGCTGGTGATCTTTACAATGAACCCTAGCTTGATTTCTTATTGAGGGTTTAAGTCTAATTTCTTATATTATAGGTAATGGTTACAGGCATTGAAGGAGGTTTTGCTACATTAAAGTTTGTAGTCTACGTCCCAAGTTTGTCCATTGAACTTACATATTAAAGTCTTTGAGTTTTATTTAAATTTGATTCTTATAAATTTATTTGAGGAGATTTTTCTTATTTATTTGAAAGTCTTCTTCCATCAAACATGTTTTAAGTAATGCTGCTGTTTGAGACCTTCTATATACTACTAGTGTTATAGCCATTGTTTTCTTTGAATTATACTTAGTTAGGAGACCTGCTTCGTCTCTAGGCCAAACTGGATTTATTTGGTGATGGAGAAGATAAAGCATTATATATCATAGTTTTTTTATCAGCAATCGAGGACTAAAAGTTGTTTTGTTGGCTGGATGCTTTGAATTATGACTGATGAAACGCTTTTGACTAGGTTCTACTATTGCTTCTTTCAGAAATAGGGGTGTTTGATCTATCTTGATGTCTTACTGCTCTTTACAATTATTGTTAAAGGGAACTTAAAGCATTTGTTGAAAATGATCCAACCATTTTTTTTGCGGTAATGTTAGTTAGTGACTGATCTCTAGGAGTTGTCGATCTTGAGGATATATGTGCTTCTGATCTCTTTTGGCCAAATGGATCATTACTTTTCTTAATGAATCTTTCCTTTTCAAGTGTCAATCTTTAACTTGCTTCTTCATATGTCTAATTCTCTAAAGTAGATAGGATTTCTAGCATTTACTGAATATATCCCACACTTTTAATAATGCTCTATCTTAGAAGTTTCTTCAAGCACATTGAAATGATATCAATAGACTATTTCAAATGACTTATAAGGTTCTACTTCTTACTTATTGCAAGTTTCTGATTGACCCTTCTCCTTAGATTCAAATAGCTGACGTTATTAGTTGAAAACTGTATTATTTCATCAAGTTATAGATATAGTTCAGCCATAATAAGAAAGTTTTACTCCACGTTGAATATTATATTTTTATACTTGTGGATAGAGTTGCCATAGCCAGTGAACAGCTCTGACTTATTGAGTATTAAATAGTGAGCTAGAACTAAGATTTAAACTGACATCATCTACTATATCTTGCTTGTCTAAGTTGAAGACATTGCGAATCTGTGAGTATCAGATAGAGGAGTTTTATTGATAATTTAGATAGCCAACTTCAAGGCCTCCTCACCCTACTCTTTATGCACTTACTAGTATAGACTGTTTATTAGATCTCCCTCTTCAAGAAAGGTTTTTAGAATATCCTAAATAAGATAATTAAGATAAATAATCATACTGTGACATAACTTTAAGTTAATTGCTGTTCATTATTATAATGATTTTCAATGATTATTTCACTGCTTTCTTATTACTTAATTGGATTTAATGTCAATTGAATACATTCTATATATAAGTTGTATTGATCTAAATTTAATCTTACTTGTCTGCTTTTGGTTATTTCTATCAATCCTTGAATCAGGAGATGATAACTTGAATGAATCTTGTAGCAGAATTGTTTTGTCATTTTCATTATTTGTCAAATCATTAAGTTAGCTATTAATGTTTATATTCAAAAGAGTTGCATGATCCTGAGAATCACCTGTATTTGTTGAAAGTCTTTTCTATATATTCGATTCATTATCAATCATAATCAATTGGCTTTCCTTCATACTTCTTTAAGAAGCACCAATCTGACCCTTGGTTTCTTCAATCACATTTCTTGCTCCATCCTCCGAACTGGAATTCATGTTTATCATCTCTATTAACATCTACTATGCTAATTAAGCCATTTTCTCTTAGTCATTCACAGAGCTCTTGAAATGGTCAAGGAATTTACTCATAATTGATTTATCCATATTTGAAATGAGTTCTTTTGCCATGTTTGAATTAAGAAAACTCGACTTAGGTGTGTTGTCGTGAATCATCTTTATTTGGTCACTAACTTAGTGTCAACTTGAAGACTACGATGCGTAAGTTAAGTTATCTACAATATCTTCCTACGTGAGTTGTCTTTTCTGTTATTACTCTGAATCAAACTTGAATCTATCATGATCATGATTAATCATTTATGAGCCTCTGAAAGATGAAACAATCTCCTCAATACTGCTATCGAGTTGATCAAATATCTAGCTATCTTAAGGCATGAATGTTGACATTATTTTTATTTTACAAATTAATTTCAAACAATTTGCATTGTGTTATTAACTTTTTTAAAAACAGATTTTTCCTTTTGGGGTTTTGGGGTTTTGGGGAGATCG